AGTTGGGCACCAATGCAGAGCAGGACCTGAAAACACAAAATATAAAATATAAAATAAAATATAAAATCCTCAGGCAGCGGGGGCACCCGGCCTGGCCCGGCGCTCCTGGGCGGGTGCTGCTGTGGGATCCCTGGCTGGTGCCAGCAGTGTCCCAGTCCCAGCAGTGTCCCTGTCCCCAGCAGTGTCCCAGTCCCAGCAGTGTCCCAGCACTGTCCCTGTCCCAGCACTGTCCCTGTCCCCAGCAGTGTCCCAGTCCCCAGCAGTGTCCCAGCAGTGTCCCAGTCCCAGCAGTGTCCCTGTCCCCAGCAGTGTCCCAGTCCCAGCAGTGTTCCAGCACTGTCCCTGTCCCCAGAAGAGTGTCCCAGTCCCCAGCAGTGTCCCAGTCCCAGCAGTGTCCCAGTCCCAGCACTGTCCCTGTCCCAGCGCTGTCCCTGTCCCCAGCAGTGTCCCAGTCCCCAGCAGTGTCCCAGCACTGTCCCTGTCCCAGCAGTGTCCCAGTCCCCAGCAGTGTCCCAGTCCCAGCAGTGTCCCAGTCCCAGCAGTGTCCCTGTCCCAGCACTGTCCCTGTCCCAGCAGTGTCCCAGTCCCAGCACTGTCCCAGTCCCAGCACTGTCCCTGTCCCAGCAGTGTCCCTGTCCCCAGCAGTGTCCCTGTCCCAGCACTGTCCCTGTCCCAGCAGTGTCCCAGTCCCCAGCAGTGTCCCAGCACTGTCCCTGTCCCAGCAGTGTCCCAGTCCCAGCAGTGTCCCTGTCCCCAGCACTGTCCCTGTCCCAGCACTGTCCCTGTCCCCAGCAGTGTCCCTGTCCCCAGCAGTGTCCCTGTCCCAGCACTGTCCCTGTCCCCAGCAGTGTCCCAGCACTGTCCCTGTCCCAGCAGTGTCCCTGTCCCCAGCAGTGTCCCTGTACCAGCACTGTCCCTGTCCCTGTCCCAGCAGTGTCCCTGTCCCAGCAGTGTCCCAGTCCCAGCAGTGTCCCAGCACTATCCTGGTCCCAGCAGTGTCCCTGTCCCAGTCACTGTCCCCAGCACTGTCCCTGTCCCAGCAGTGTCCCTGTCCCAGCAGTGTCCCTGTACCAGCAGTGTCCCAGTCCCAGCAGTGTCCTTGTCCCCAGCAGTGTCCCAGTCCCAGCAGTGTCCCAGTCCCAGCAGTGTCCCAGCACTGTCCCAGTCCCAGCAGTGTCCCTGTCCCCAGCAGTGTCCCAGTCCCAGCAGTGTCCCTGTCCCCAGCAGTGTCCCAGCAGTGTCCCTGTCCCCAGCAGTGTCCCAGTCCCCAGCAGTGTCCCAGCAGTGTCCTTGTCCCCAGCACTGTCCCAGTCCCAGCACTGTCCCAGTCCCAGCAGTGTCCCTGTTCCAGCAGTGTCCCTGTCCCCAGCAGTGTCCCAGCAGTGTCCCTGTCCCAGCAGTGTCCCTGTCCCCAGCAGTGTCCCAGCAGTGTCCCTGTCCCAGCAGTGTCCCTGTCCCCAGCAGTGTCCCAGCAGTGTCCCTGTCCCCAGCACTGTCCCTGTCCCCAGCAGTGTCCCAGCAGTGTCCTTGTCCCCAGGCCTACCGCTGGATGATCGACTCCCGGGATGAGTTCACGGAGGAGCGGCTGGCGCAGCTGCAGGATCCCTTCTCCCTGTACCGCTGCCACACCATCATGAACTGCACCCGCACCTGCCCCAAGGTACCGGGACACGAGGGGACACGGGGGGACATGGGGGGACATGGGGGACATGCGGGGACATGGGACATGGGGGGACAC